CTCTATAATGGAGCTATATTTACAAGAAATAGAAAGCCCAATGATCCATTTTCAGACTACAGTATTTAGCTTTTAATGTAAAATTACTGAGGATGTAAGAAAAGCAGCTGAAGAGAAAATAAAACAAATGGTTACCAGCAGTTAACACCTGAGTGTGAGAGATTCACAGCCCTTCACAAACAGGAGGTGACAGGAAGTGGGCTGAAGTGGGCTGGCCTGACCAACAAGATAAACTTCATATTCATAGTGCCAAAATGCACTCAATCATTGCAGAAAGGCCTTCTCATCCCAAGAGAACAAAGGGAGGTGGGTACAATTTAAGGTTACCAGTTTTTAAGTAACCCAATAGGAGACAGTAAAACCCAGAGAAGGAGAGATCTGGGAGGAGTGACCAGCCCTGAGGATCTACTCAGACAATGAGGAACCAGGGAAGAAGCCCTGAACACTAGGGAGTAAAATGGTGATTGAAACTGCTCTGGGTGTGCCTGTTCCCCCAGACACCCAATCTTGCAAGACTGTCAGTCAGTAAGAGCCTTGCTTTTTGCTATACCTGTGTTTCTTAGTCATTTCTTTGGGTTTGGGCAGGTGAGCTTGTTTCTCACATTTATTTATTTAATAAAATTAATAAGCCAGGCAGGGTACTAAAGTCAACTAAAAAAAAAAAATATATATATATATATATATATATATATATTTATAGTTGACTTTAGTACCCTAAAATATATATATACATTTAATATATATTAAATATATATATATATATTATATATATATAATATATATATTAAAGAGAGATAGAGAGAGAGAGAGGGGAGACAGCCGTGGTGAAAGCATTTAAGCTGAAGGCTAAAGGAATGTTAGGTGGCCTGAGGAGAAGGTGCATCTCATAAGCAGAGAACTGTGTTAAAGTAACTTGGAATCAGGAAGATATATAGTAACTGTGGGAAAGAAAATATTTTTTTCTGGAGCAGACTGTGTGGAAGGTAAGTAGGGAAGAAAGGTTGACTAGGGCCTGGAGCCCCTTAAATGCCAAGGCCAGCATTTCAGAATTGAGACATCCTTGACAGTGGAACTAGTACACATACAACCAATGAACAGGGGAAGACTTTGGACAATACTCTTTTTTTTTTTTTTTTTTTGGTACCAGGGATTGAATCCAGGGGTCTTAACCACTGAGCAACACCCCCCCCACCCCGCCAGCTTCTATTCTTATTTTGTGACAGGGTCTTCTTAAATTGGCTTAGGGCCTCGCTAAATTGCTGAAGCTGACTTTGAACTTGTGATCCTCCTGCCTCAGCCTCCTGAAACACTGGGATTACAGGTGTATGTGGTGGTACCCTGCTGGGGCAACGCATTTTTTTTTTTTTAAATAGGGGGAGTCTGGAGCTGGGGATGTGGCTCAAGTGGTAGCGCGCTCGCCTGGCATGCGTGCGGCCCAGGTTCCATCCTCAGCACCACATACAAAAAAAAAAAAAAAAATAGAAGGGGTCTAAATCAAGATATTCAGGCAGTCAGGCATGGGGGCTCAGATTGCATGGTAGAGCAACCTACTGTTTCAGAAGGCTGGAGGACTGCTTGAGCCCAGGAGTTTGGGACCAGCCTGGATCACATGGCCAGAATCCAGTTAAAAAAAAAAAAGAAAGTATGGGCTGGGGCTATAGCTCAGTGGCAGAGCACTTGCCTAGCATGCAGGAGGCACTGGGTTCGATCCTCAGCACCACATTAAAAAATCAACAAATAAAATAAAAGGCATTCTATCCATCTACAACTACACACACACACACACACAAAAAAAAAAGTAGGCAGAACAGAATTTTGGCAGGCTCTGGTGATAAGAGTAGACATTAGGCAACTAGTACTTAGCCTCAGGACAGTCTAACCTTCCTCTTGGAAGTCTGTGGGTGTGAACACAGGAAATAGGCAGCAGTAAATAGGCAAAGTCACAGAGACTGGAGGATTTGGTTTTATAGAAGGTAATGAATGACACAGCAGGGCTTGCCCTTCCAGGGAAGATTCCACACTTAAGAACCAAGAGAGCAAGGGTATGTTGTGGGAAGCAAAAGAGCAAGAAATCAGGTACAGAGATTAAACAATAGTGCAAGAGAATAATGATAAAGATGTTCCTGAGTCAAAATCTTTTGAGACAGGAATTTCTTATAAGCCATATAGGCAGGTCCTAAAAGCTTAAGCTGAAGGCTGGAACCAGGACTTGTTCAGCCCAGTTTTTTGTTTTTGTTTTGAAAAAAACAATAAACACAATACTTTCACAATGTAGATATATAAATATACTCATTTTCTTTCTTTCTCCCCTAACTTTTTTTTTTTTCCTTTTGGTATTAGGGATTGAACCCAGGGGCTCTTTATCACTGAGCTGCACCCACAATCCTTATTTTYTATTTTGAGACAGGGTCTCACTAAATTCTAGGGCTGATCTTGAACATCTAATCCTCCTGTCTCAGCTTCTTGACTTGCTGGGCTTATAGGCACAGGCCACTGGGCCCTAGTCTCATTTTCTTTTTGGGCTTTGCAAATATTTGGACTAGATTTATTACAAAGAAACTTTGAAAAAGGCATAAATAGTAAACTAGTATTAGTTAGGCATTTTTTTCATTGCTTGTGCTTTTTATCAAGTATTACTTTGTGACTCTAGGTTTATCTTTTAGGTCTAAATCCTCATTTATTATTGTTTTTATTTTGGTACGGGGGATTGAATTCAGGTGCACTCAACCACTGAGCCATATATATACCCAACCCTGTTTTGTATTTGTTATTCAGAGTTGCTTACCACCTTGCTTTTGCTGAGGCTGGCTTTGAACTCTTGATCCTCTGCCTCAGCTTCCCAAACTGCTGGGATTACAGATGTGCACCACTTATTATTATTTTTTGAGGTAGGGTCTCACTAAGTTGCTTAGAGTCTTGCTAATTGCTGAAGCTGACCTGGAACTTGAAATTCTCTTGTCTTAGCCACTCCCTGGAGTGGTACTCTAAGCCCAGCAGCTCTGGAGGCCGAGGCAGTAGGCCAACTTCAAAGCTAGCTTGGGAAGCTCTTTTGCCTCCCACAACACACCCTTGCTCTCTTGGTTCTCTTAGAAAGACCCTGTCACCAAAAATAAAAAAAATTTTTTTTTTTTTTTAAATGTAGCAGAGCACAGTGGCGGATGGTTACGCCTCACCCCACCTCCAGAGCCACCAGAGAGAGGCTGAAGGGAGACGCCATGCTGATGTCCTGTGTCAGGAAACTGTGAGACTGGGGAGCGCTGGAGCCACAGCGAGCGGGCTCCCAAGTGGACGAAAGTGGGCGACCAACTTCGCCCAAACTCCTGCTTGCCAGAGAAGGGCCCTGGMTGAGGCGGCAGCGGGAGGGGACTGTTGCAAACAGTCTTGTAGATGGACACAGTACTTTTGTTTATTCTTCATGTGGTGCTGAGGATCGAACCCAGTGCTTCACACATGCTAGGCAAGCACTCTGCTGCTGAGCCCCAGCCCCAGCCCTTGTTTTATTCTTTTTCTAGAGTCACAGGTCTCCCTTGTCTTGATCACTTTTGTTGGCTTCAGTGGCAGATATAAATGGATGCTTGTGCCTCATACCAGTAAAACTTTTTTGGGGGGTGGTGGTGGTGGTACCAGGATTGAACCCAGCCAGAGGCACTTAACCACTGAACCACATTCCTAGCTGGTTTTATATTTTATTTTAACAGAGTCTTGCTAAATTGCTTGGGGCCTCACTAAGTTGCTGAGACTGGCTTTGAACTTGTGATCCTCTTGTCTCAGCCTCCCATACTGTGAAACTTTTAATTAATTTTACTAAATTAATACTAAGTACCAAATACTAAGTACTGGCTGAGCCTTCCAATTCTTACCTTTATGCTGTTATTTGGAGGTTTTTCTTCCCTTTACTTTTTTGGATATAGTCCTGGTTCCACCACTAATAGTGTAAACTTTCTTCTTCTTAGACTTCCCATCTGTCAATTATGTCCAGGGGTTGAATTACATCAAAGATATGACAGTTCTAGAATTCTATGCTCCTGAATCAATAATAAGTAAAAATTTCTAATAAATATAATTTCTGAAGTTTTAGAACATGGGTTCATTGGGGAAAAGGTTCTAACTGATAAAATTATTGGTTATAACTGGGATATAGAATGAAGTTTAAAGAATTTTGTTTTATTTAGCTGCTCATTATTTCCTAAATTTACATAATAGTATTACTCTCCAAATTAAGCTTTCTACATCAAAAAATCATAATACTTTTGGGATGGGGAGGTAGCTCAGTGGTAGAGCATTTGCCTGGCATATGCATAAGCCCTGGGTTCAATCCCCAGCACCAAAAAACAAAAACAACTTTCAAGATGCTTTACAATATTGGGGGTTGAGTTTATCAGATTTATTTTGGAGGGAATAATCAAGCTAACACTGAAAATTTTGAGGTACTCAAGGGTTATAACTCTTGAATTGATGACAAATTTGTGAAGCACTGCTCATAGCTGGCTTTGTGATTTGCATAGCTAGCCTATTTTAGAATTGTTGATTTTATCATAAGACATTCCCAGCTGAATAAGAAATGATTCAGGGGATAAGTAGGTTTAAGAGATAAGACTATGAAAAACAATCAGAGAATCCAATCTAAGAGGGAGATACATTAGAGAAGACAAGCATCTTAAGTCATGAAGTTTAGGAGTGTTTGGGAAGGAAAAACAATGTAAGACAAGTCTTTATTTTTGTTCTAAGGATGGAACATGTTAAGTGCGGGCTCTGCCACTTAGCTAAACCGCCAGCCTCCCATGCTATAGTTTTTTTTTTTTTTTTTGCACTGGAGATTGAACTCAAGGGTGCTGTATTAAGAAGCTGCACCCACAGCTCCTTTTTTTGAGACAGGGTCTCATTAAATGGTCTGGAACTTGCCATTTTTCTGCCTCAGCTTCCTGAGTAGCTGGGATTACAGGTGTGAGAGACCACACTGGGCAAGACAAGTCTTTGAAGAATTTGACACTGAAACATGATGACTGGAACTTCCCCAAAGACTCATTTTAATTACATATCAAATAAACCAACATTCTGGTGACGGTGGGGTTGTGTGTAAAACTGTGGCTTCAAATTCTCTCTGAATCCTTGTTTCTTGCTTTCCAGATGTCCCAGAGTTTAATACTTTTTCAAGCTGAACCAGCTCACCAGGTTCAACCACTTTGAGATCACATCCTAGGCATGCTGTAGTGATGGAGCATACTGAGGTCAGAAGCACGTATTTTCCAACTATGGAAAAAAAGAAAAAAAGGGGGGGGAAGGGTAAGTGTAAATAAGATTGATGGGGAGCTGGGTGAGGTGGCACATACCTGTAATCTCAGTGACTCTAGAAGCTGAGGCAAGAGGATCGCAAGTTCAGAGCCAGCCTCAGTAATTTTGCGAGGCCCTAAATAATTCAGTGGGATCCTGACTCAAAATAAAAAGGGCTGGGGATGTGGCTCAGTGGTTAAGCTCTCCCGGGTTCAATCTCCAGTACCCGCCCCCGCACCCCTCTCCTCCAAAAAGAGAAACACTGTTGCGGGTAGAAGAAGAAAAAGGATAAGGCAAATGAAAAGAATATGCAAGGTTCAGGTGGGGTTCACCATCTTTGGATTTTCGACAAGGTGGTAGACTTGGCGGCAGGGAGGGGCCCCGCCTCCTGTGCAAAGAGTTCTTGGAGTCTCCAGGATTCCCAAGGACCGCAAAGGCCAGGAGCAGGTTCTACGCGCAGAGCACAGCAGCGAACCTTCCATTCGCGGGGAGATTCTCTCTGCGCCCAGGTGTTCCTCACCCTTCCTTTTCTAGCCCCGGAAGGACGATTACATCATTCCAACCCGAGTAGCTTGGACAGCTTTTCCATTTCGAACTCCTGCTCTAACGCCAATTTTTCCTGCTTAAAGAAACTGGGATGCAGCAGTAATATTTCTCTTGTCATGGCCGGCCCACTAAAGCGAGCACTCCAGGAGGCTTTCAAGTTTTACAAAGAACCTATTAAAAGACGCTGGCCTTTATTTTATATATGTCTACGAGCTGTAGCTACACAAGAAAACATGACCACCTACGCCCGTCGCTGAGCCAAGATTCTCTAGCGCCCCACTCCCAACAAATTCCACGCAGAGGTTACCCGGAGTAGTTCGCTGGGAGACCCCGAGAATGCGAGAGGGAAGCAGGGACTAGCCACCGTGCTGCGCCTGCGCAGTCACTAGGCAGCGCCTCTCGCGGGGCGTGCTCGTACCGCCGCGCACCCTATCAGGCGGCCACAGGGTGCGCGCCCGCGGCCTCGCCCTCTCTGGCCCCGCCTCTGGCCCCTCTCGGCCCGGCTTCAGATTGAGATCCTTCGCTCCTGTCTCCGCCCCCACGTGCCCGCAACACTCTCTTGCGCGCGTGCGCAGAGGCGGACCGCAGGGCGAGGGCGCGAGGGAAGGGCGGGCGTACGTCCTTGCGTGCGTCTCAGGCAGCGCGCACGTCGGCGTGAGAGGGCACGGGGAAAAGGTGGCTCTGGTTGGGGCGGCTCGCCTTCCTGGGGCTATGTAGCTGGGTTCGTCCGCTCGCGGTCTTCCTTTGCTGTCCTCGCCGCGTCCCATCGCCAAGTTTCTGCCCCGGAGGGGCTGTCCTCCCGCCCGCCGAGCTCTCTCGACGGCAGAGCTCACTCGCTCGCCTGTGGGAGCGTCCCTGCTGAGCAGCCCTGAGGGGGGAGAGGAGGCCATTTTGTCCGGACCGACTCCCAGAACCGGGTGGAGCGGCTGGGAGAGACTGCGGAGCTGCGGTCGCCGCCCTCGGAGGCACGGGACGCCGCCACCGTCGAGGCTTTCTTGAGGAGGCCGTTCCTTGGTCGCCCGCATCCTCTCGAGCCCTCCTTTTTTCCCACGCTTCCCCGGTCCTCCGGCCCAAGAACGCCCGGGTGAGGAGTTGGCCGTGGTGAGAAGGACCGATCCCTTGGGGCCGCCGGCGGCGAGAGCCCGAGCCGCTCCTCCCAATGGCGAAGAAGACGTACGACCTGCTTTTCAAGCTGCTCCTGATCGGGGACTCGGGAGTGGGGAAGACCTGCGTCCTTTTTCGTTTTTCGGATGATGCCTTCAATACCACCTTTATTTCCACCATAGGTAAGACCTGTGGGAGGGTGGCGGACGGCCTCTGTAGCGGCGAGCCGTGTTCTCTTACTCCAGACATCTTGCTTCTTGTAATATACGCCTTTGTTTCAGTGATTCCGATTCCAAACGACAGACCCAAGTTACTGTTTGAATCGGCTTTGAGCTGACTGGGGCGGGGTCTTCCCATGCTTCCCATCCGGTCTTCTGCTTTCAAGGTCTCCCCCTTTGCTCTGCCCGCTGACACAAAATATGCAGCAGTTTACAACGTTCCAGAATCCTGCCTGTTTCTTTAAGTGACTTGACTGGCTTTTTTCATATTTGTGTAGAATTGCTACGTGTGTGACATTTTTAAGAGAGAGATTTTAGTGTTTCGGGTTGAAGCAATACTAGCTAGGTGGTAAAGGCCCTAATTTATACTTGGGGGCAAAAAGAAGATTGCATATGGTCACAACTTGGAGTGAACTTGAGGGTTTGTGTGAAGAATAATTAAGGCAAATTAGAGGGGAAAAGTGAGTTGGCCGCGTTGACTAATCCATTGATGTGTCAAACAATCGGAGGCTCTTCGTGCTTGGGGTGGGAATCTATGGCATGTTTGCCTCATAGTGTTTTTCAAGACATCAACAGAAACAGTAATCTGAGAAACATGATCAGCTTCTGTCCTCAACTTGACAGAATGGAGTTTTCTTTTCTGGTTTATTTGATGCTAGAATTTACAGTAAAGTGTGTTGTTGTTCACAGCCTTAAGGACTCCTAAAACACTTTGACCACATGTTTCAGAATTACTTGTTGTGAAAGTAAGAGCTAAAGGTTGACCTTTTAATCGGTTTCCCGTTTAGGAAAAGAAAAGGGAAGGCTAAGAAAGTCCCTTTTGACTCTGGCACTAACATGACTTGTGTGCTAAAGTAATTGTGCATGAAGTTCACTTTCTACCTCCCACAATCCTTGAAGAACACCTGGTTGTCTGTCATTGGGAGCCCAGCTTCTGCTTTGGGTCAGTGGAATAAAACCCTTTTTAAAATGTAACTCATTTTATAATGAGATTATTTAGGGAGGTAACTGCTGTAGTCTTTGAACTCTGGGAGTTGTCAGAATTAAATTGGTTTCAGCCAATTAATAGCATTATAGCTGGTTGGGATTTCTTATGAAATTTATCAGCAATTTAAGTCATTCTCATAAAACAAGTTATATTGAAATAAAATTGGACAAGTAATTAAATATGTTTTTTATTTAAATCACCTTCTTGGGGAAGGGGGCTTTTCATCATCATTCCCTGGGTACCATACTGTTGAGAGTATCATGATACTTAGAACTTGTTAGCACTTCTTAGCACAAAGTTTGCTTTTAGCTGTAGCTGGGTGGGTCAATCAGCAAATACCTAATGCTAGGCACTTTCATAGGCACTGTGGAGAAGTGGTGGACGTTGTAGACCCCTTGAGCATTCTGGTGAGGACAATCAGCAGTGTGGACAGTGCTAGAGTAGTAAGCACAGGGAGGAGGGGACTAGTCTGAATTGTGAAGAGTCTGAGTAGTCTTGCATGGACATGATGTCTTAAATGCATTCTGGCCAGGCATGGTGTAGTCCCAGTGACTTGCTAGGCCAAGGCAGGAGAATTGCAAGTTTGAGGCCCATGTAGGCAACTTAGCTAGACCCTGTCTCAAAATAAAAAAAATAGAAAGGGCTGGAAGTGTAGCTGAGGGATAGAGTGCCCCTGGGTTCAATTCCCAGTATTGCAAAAGAAAAAGGAAAGAAAGAAAGAACAAACAAACAAACAAAAAAACAATAAAATGAAGTCTGAAGGACAATTAAGAATTGGGCCACAGGGATGAGATAGTCTTTCTGGAGAGGGAGGATTTAATTCATGTGATCAGTTTTAACCAGCCTTTGAGAAGGATGGCATAGAGAGAAGGCAGCAGAGCAATATCTTCATCAACTCTAGTTTTTTTTTTTGAAAACCCAATCCTGTGAGAAAATGGCATAATTTTTGTGTATAGTCCTTTTACTTGGGAAATGTGTAGTGGTTTTGCATCAGGCCTGCTGGGTAGGAATCCTAGTTCCACAGGTTATAGCTCTGCAACTTTGGCAAGTTACTTAACCTTTCTCTGCTTCAGTTCATTCTTTTGATCATTCCTTCCTTTGGATTGAACCCAGGGGTATTCTACCACTGAGCTAGCACTTTTTTTTTTTTTTTTTTTTTGAGACAATCTCCACCTAGTTCTCCAGGCTGGCCTCCAACTTTTGATCTCCTGCCTCAGCCTCCCAAGTCACTGATACTACAGGCACATTCAACATGCCCAGCTTCTTTAGAAATAACATTAATAATAATATCTACTACATAGATAGTTGTTAGGATTTTATAAATGAAAGTAAAGTACTTTGGGTGGTGCCAGGCATTTTTTTGTAGGAGCTCAGGGCGCAGTATACAATAGCTATATATAGAATATGTGAGTCTTCTGCTGTGAGACAGAAAGTTACACAATGTTACTTTATCGATTGAATGTCCCACACTTGGTAGTCCCTCAAATGTTTGTGTTCTTTTTTTTTTTAATATTTTTATTAGTTATTGATGGACCTTTACTTATATGTATGTGGTGCTGAGAATCGAACCCAGTGCCTCACACATGCTAGGCAAGTGCGCTACCTCTGAGCCACAACCCCAGCCCTTGTTTGTGTTCTTTTAAACAATTTCATTTTAGTCTCTGATGTTTATGTATTTTGATAAAAGATATTGACTAGTGTAGGCTGAGTACAGCTTCAACACATATGAGCTCTGTGCATAGATTTGGTAGTTTACTATTATCTTAACCAGTGCTGTTCAAAAGAAATGTGAGCTGCATACATGATTTCACTTTCTTTTTTTTTTTTTTGGTAGTGCTATGGTTGGAACTCAGGGGTGCTACACTACTAAGCTACACCCCCAGCTCTTTTTATTTTTAATTTTGATACTAGGTCTGGTTAACTTGCCCAGGTTGTCCTCAAACTTTTGATCCTCTTGCTTCAGCCTCTCAAGTGATTGGGATTACAGGTCTGTACCACTGCTCCTGGCTAAATAATGTTTTAACTCACATCTAAGATGTTATTTTATTGTGTAGTCAATTTTAAACAATTGAGTTATGTTACACTGTTCTTCTCCAGTGTAATCTATACTTACAGCTCACCTCAATTTAGATTGGGCATATTTCAAATGCTTAGTAGCCACATATGGCAGTAATTACCAATAGTTCACGTCTAGACAATCCAAAGCCAATTGATTAATGTGCAGATAACTAGAAGTACTCTGAATGTATACTACTTTTTAGGATATTTAAAATATTAGTTGAGTGGGTAATTTTATTTATTTATTTGTTTGTTTGTTTTGAGGTGCTGGGGATTGAACCCAGAACCTTGTGCAACCAGACAGGAACTCTGCCAATGAGCTATAACCCAGCCATTGTTTTTTCACTTACAGCATTCTTTAAGTATAAATGTTAGAGATGTTTGTGAGTTATCATTTAATTTTTATTGTTTATTTGTTTTTGGTGCTGGGAATTGAACTCAGAATCTTGTGCTTGCTAATCATGGGCTGTATAACTGAGCTACACCTCCAAATCCAGCATCTGAGATTTGGTGGTGTTTTTGGTTTTTTTTTGGGTACTGGGGATTTGGGGATTGAACCCAGAGGCACTGAGCCACATCCCCAGCTCTTTTTTGTATTTTATTTAGAGACAGGGTCTCATTGAGTGGCTTATGTTGGCTTTGAACTTGTGATTCTCCTGACTTTAGCCTCCCAGCTGCTGGGATTACAGGCATGTACCACCACACTTGGCTGAGGTTTGTTATAGAAGTAGATTATTAATTATTTACTTGTGTTCAGAAAGCCCAGACTCTCAAAATAAGGTAGGTACTCATTATTTCAGGCACAGTTTTCCTTTCTTTTTTTCTTTTTGGAACTGGGGATTGAACTGGGGGGGGGGCACTTCACCACTGAGTCACATCCCCAGCCCTATTTTGTATTTTATTTAGAGACAGGGTCTCACTGAATTGCTTAGCTTAGTGCCTTACCATTGCTGAGGCTGGCTTTGAATTTGCAGTTCTCCTGTCTCAGCCATTGCCCCCAGCTACAGTTGT